TTAAAAGAAATGGAAGAAGGTGAATATCTTCGGTTCAAAGCCTTGTATAAGGTACAATTATTTAAATAAAAAAAGTAATAACTAGAAATAAAAAATTTAATTTTTTTATTTAAAATTTAATAATAATGTACTGAACCAAAAATGCAAAAGAAAAAGAAATCGACGTAACAAATTTTCAAAATCTATTCGGAGTTAATGATGCAGTTACTCGAAATAGTAGAAAAGATATGCATAAATGTGAGAATACGGACGAGAATCAAGGCCCTGTAATCGTCAGATCTGTTAGACCTGCTCACATTGTCACTGGATGGCTTAATTTTTTTTTCAGAACCCGAGTGGTAAGATTCTGTGTGGGTTGTGCATAAAGAATAAATACTCGACTACGGAAGTAGTATAATATAAACTAAACAATTTAATCAATACTAACAATATAAAAGAAAAATGGATACAGAGGAATAACAATATAATGAATACCTAGGTATAGATTATCCCTAGTTCTATTTTATATGAAGCTAAACCGAGAGAGAGAGAGCTTACAATAACTTTTACCTCGTTGTTCATGTTGAAGATAGCTTGTTGTTCTCTTCCTGGGAAGGCGAGTTGGAGGGACAGGTTCAGTCATTGGAGTAGCACTTTCTATGGCAAGTCTTGCTGGGATCGACTGTCCCGACTTTAGCTATCTTGCCCCTTTTTATTACAGATTATTTCACAACAATAATTCCTAAAGATGCATCATTTGACAGGATGCATCGTTGTGACATAGGTCCAGGTATTGAATAAATTTCTGAGATACGAGGTGTGGAGGAAGGAAGAAAAACATCCTCGTTTCTTGTAAAATGTGGCGTAATAGAGCAGTTTTTCAGGATGTTAAAGTTTTATAACCTTTTTTAGTTATATTAACTTTATTTTAAATTTTTATCAAATTACCCTTTTTTAATTGTAGTTAAATTAAATTATTTATTTAAGTTTTTTTGAGGTAACAATTATATAAATCCATTTAAGAATACCTTCAGATTATCACATAAATATTCAACAGATAGCAATAATTATAAAATTATAGACAGAAATATACTTTAGCCAGAACAGTGTCAAAATATTTTTAAAAATTCATTTTAAAAAGCGATGCATATTGTAAAAGAAAAAGGAAAATCTAAATATATAAAATTACTTGTCCTGACTGACTGATTCATCATCGCCCGGAGCAAACCGCTGAACCTAAAGAGGTGAAATCTCGTACACAGTTAGGGTACGTCATGGAAACGCACACTAAGAAAGGTTTTTTCGAAATTCTCCAGCGAGGGGAGAGGGAGAGCATTAAGGCTTAACCTGAAGAACCGCTTTTACTGTATTATTTTAAATGCGATTTTTTGTTTTCGACGACGTTTACTCTTCATTAAGTATTTAGGTACTTAGTAAGTATTTAGGTACTTAAGTATTTAGGTGTATTAAATTGATAACATTTCAGACATTGTTATAAATATTTTTATATATTTCGATTTTTTAACCAAATGTTCGAACCGTTTTCAAGTCGGATTTGTTATTGCATATTGGTTCGATTATAGAACGATTATAAACGTTCCAGAAAATTAATCAAATTAAAAATAGTTCGTTTGATTCTCAGCTATTCTCATCATTCCAGCGGTGAGTGTTATATAACAATAAATATGATTGTTGAAATACTAAATATAAATGTGGTTTATAATTTATTTTGTATACTAGTACTAGTATACAAAATAAATTATAAACCACATTTATATTTAGTATTTCAACAATCATATTTATTGTTATATAACACTCACCGCTGGAATGATGAGAATAGCTGAGAATCAAACGAACTATTTTTAATTTGATTAATTTTCTGGAACGTTTATAATCGTTCTATAATCGAACCAATATGCAATAACAAATCCGACTTGAAAACGGTTCGAACATTTGGTTAAAAAATCGAAATATATAAAAATATTTATAACAATGTCTGAAATGTTATCAATTTAATACACCTAAATACTTAAGTACCTAAATACTTACTAAGTACCTAAATACTTAATGAAGAGTAAACGTCGTCGAAAACAAAAAATCGCATTTAAAATAATACAGTAAAAGCGGTTCTTCAGGTTAAGCCTTAATGCTCTCCCTCTCCCCTCGCTGGAGAATTTCGAAAAAACCTTTCTTAGTGTGCGTTTCCATGACGTACCCTAACTGTGTACGAGATTTCACCTCTTTAGGTTCAGCGGTTTGCTCCGGGCGATGATGAATCAGTCAGTCAGGACAAGTAATTTTATATATTTAGATTTTCCTTTTTCTTTTACAATATGCATCGCTTTTTAAAATGAATTTTTAAAAATATTTTGACACTGTTCTGGCTAAAGTATATTTCTGTCTATAATTTTATAATTATTGCTATCTGTTGAATATTTATGTGATAATCTGAAGGTATTCTTAAATGGATTTATATAATTGTTACCTCAAAAAAACTTAAATAAATAATTTAATTTAACTACAATTAAAAAAGGGTAATTTGATAAAAATTTAAAATAAAGTTAATATAACTAAAAAAGGTTATAAAACTTTAACATCCTGAAAAACTGCTCTATTACGCCACATTTTACAAGAAACGAGGATGTTTTTCTTCCTTCCTCCACACCTCGTATCTCAGAAATTTATTCAATACCTGGACCTATGTCACAACGATGCATCCTGTCAAATGATGCATCTTTAGGAATTATTGTTGTGAAATAATCTGTAATAAAAAGGGGCAAGATAGCTAAAGTCGGGACAGTCGATCCCAGCAAGACTTGCCATAGAAAGTGCTACTCCAATGACTGAACCTGTCCCTCCAACTCGCCTTCCCAGGAAGAGAACAACAAGCTATCTTCAACATGAACAACGAGGTAAAAGTTATTGTAAGCTCTCTCTCTCTCGGTTTAGCTTCATATAAAATAGAACTAGGGATAATCTATACCTAGGTATTCATTATATTGTTATTCCTCTGTATCCATTTTTCTTTTATATTGTTAGTATTGATTAAATTGTTTAGTTTATATTATACTACTTCCGTAGTCGAGTATTTATTCTTTATGCACAACCCACACAGAATCTTACCACTCGGGTTCTGAAAAAAAAATTAAGCCATCCAGTGACAATGTGAGCAGGTCTAACAGATCTGACGATTACAGGGCCTTGATTCTCGTCCGTATTCTCACATTTATGCATATCTTTTCTACTATTTCGAGTAACTGCATCATTAACTCCGAATAGATTTTGAAAATTTGTTACGTCGATTTCTTTTTCTTTTGCATTTTTGGTTCAGTACATTATTATTAAATTTTAAATAAAAAAATTAAATTTTTTATTTCTAGTTATTACTTTTTTTATTTAAATAATTGTACCTTATACAAGGCTTTGAACCGAAGATATTCACCTTCTTCCATTTCTTTTAAATATTTTAATTAAAATCTAAGTAATTAATTTTTCTTACAACCTAATTCTTTATTATGAATTGTTTTAAAGCGCTTCAACAATCGANAATTATTATATTTGATTTTTTAATATTTAATTTGTATCTAAATTGTTATGTATTTAATTTATTATTGTATAATCTGTTTGTGATCTTATGATCATTGTATTTGTGTTTTTGTTCTTTGGGAGATGGTTTTGCTCCCCGCATCAAGGAGTGTATCCAGTATGCGTAATAAATAAATAAATAAATAATAATAAATAATAATATTTAAGTTTTTCAAATTCATTTTATTTTTTTTAATATTTAACTTTAAATTTTTTGGCTTTTATGACATAACAAGGGAAAGTATTTTAATCCTGTTATAATTGATTTTGATGTTTTGAAAATCTTTAGCTTTCTTACAGCTTAAACATAAAAAAGTCTTAAAAGGAATATAAATCACTGTGTACATATTAGTGATGCAACAATATTAAAATTCTTTTGATTTCGTTTTTTGACTCTTTTGAATACTTTCTGACGTTCGTGTTAGTTTTGTACAATTAACGATTTATATTAAATTATTTACATCCATTAATAAATAAATATCAAGCTTACAAATGGAAAATTATTCATTTGAATAAAACCTGAAAATTCTCCATTTATATGTCGATACTTATGTTTTTGTTGTGTATTTTAAAATAAATTTGTAACTTCTTTAGATAAACTTAATTTATATTGCAAAAATAATCTGAATGAAATTACAGTAATTCGTGTTTTCTGAAGGAATTAGCCCACCATGTCTCATAAGGTTTCCACCTTTGGAAACTGGTTTACAAGAATACTGTATGAAAATGTAAATAAAAAGGAATTGCACTTATTTAACTCCACTTCTTCCAAAGGGCATGTTTGTAAATGTTATAATTTCATCATATTTAACACTAAATGGTGTTTGGCAAATTAATACAACACACGTAGAGACATCATTGTCACTACAAGTAGCTAACTTTTGAATTTATTTACACAATTTAATTAAGATTTCTTAAATTTTCAATTGCCAGAAAGTTTTTTACGGAGAAAAAGAAAGATCAAACAGATATCAACATTGACTTTTGTTTAAAATTCAATTTTTCATTGTTCCGCAGATTTTAAATTATTTCAAAGTAACAAACTGTAGGTCTATGAATTAGACCGAAAACGTTAGATAACTATCTAAAATAGACGGCATTTTAAAGGTATGGTGGAGTTTATTAATCAGTAATGCAGTTAGAAATTTAATAATTGTTTAATAACAAACTGTACAAACTGATATTTTATGAAAAAAAAGTAAATTTCAGTGTATAACAGTACGTAGAAAAATATAATGGTATAATAAGAATGGAAATTAATTTAAAATGAAGGAAAACTAAGTATTAACGTTGTTAAGCAGAGCTTCACACAGAATATCTGAATCAATAAATTTAATGAAATGATACGCATAATTTATTTTCCGGATAATGTAATTGTTATTTGATAAAAAGTAAATTTTCCAGATGAACTCTGTAAAACGCATTCTAAAATACAGCAATTTGAAATCAGAAGCATCCTACGAAAGTTTGCCTCATCAGCGACCACCATCTGATTGGCCAGAAAGAGGAGAAATTCATTTCGATAATGTTTCTTTGCAATACTCCACGGATAAAAATATTGTGTTAAAAAACTTAACATTTCATATTCGCACCGGAGAAAAGGTAAAACATCTGCAAATAGGAAAAGTATTGTTTATAATTATTGCCTGAATTAATGTTTAATATAAATTAATTGCAGATAGGGATTGTTGGAAGAACAGGAGCAGGAAAGAGTTCTATAATTGCTGCGTTATTTCGCATGACAGAGCCAACAGGAACGATAACCATCGATGGTGTTGACATTAAAGATATTGGACTTCGAGATCTTCGTAGTAAAATATCCATCATTCCTCAAGTAAGTAATAATTAATTCGATATGTATAATTCATATTGTGTATAATTTCGCATGACAGAGCCAACGGGAACAATCACCATCGATGGAGTCGACACTAAGAAAATCGGTCTTCGGGATCTACGTAGTAAAATATCAATCATTCNACAGGAACGATAACCATCGATGGTGTTGACATTAAAGATATTGGACTTCGAGATCTTCGTAGTAAAATATCCATCATTCCTCAAGTAAGTAATAATTAATTCGATATGTATAATTCATATTGTGTATAATATAATATTATCTATAGACACACTAGTGAATTAAGCGTTTCCGTTTATTAACACTAAAAGTTCGATAGTTGTTTCGCGTTTCGCCCAGACGTGATGGTGAAAAACCTCTATAAACGGCAGGTTTTATCCATGTTTGTAGCGCCTGAATAGGGGCCAAAGACTTCTTAGAAAGCATTATTTCTCGCGTAACGAATATCATAAACGCGTAACAATTACATCGCACTCTATGACGGGGCGATAGAGCCTAGAAGCTCATGCCAAAATACTTGATACAAAACGAGATTATATTTATATCTACGTCTGTTATATATATTGAACGCAAAATGTTTTGTTACACCAAACCGAAATTATCATTTTACAAAAAGTGCTATAATTAGAGACTGGACTCTGCCTGCATGAAAAAGAAGTCAANTAAACGCGTAACAATTACATCGCACTCTATGACGGGGCGATAGAGCCTAGAAGCTCATGCCAAAATACTTGATACAAAACGAGATTATATTTATATCTACGTCTGTTATATATATTGAACGCAAAATGTTTTGTTACACCAAACCGAAATTATCATTTTACAAAAAGTGCTATAATTAGAGACTGGACTCTGCCTGCATGTAATATAAGCAAATTAATAAAGATTTCAATAATTAAATTTCAATATATTTGATTATAATTTTGATTTTAGCTTCAATTTCGATGTAAAAACAAGAGTTTTAAATTAATAATTATTTTATTATTTTTAGTTTCAATTAATTGACTACCGATTATTAATAAATATTAAACTAAATATTAACACTATAATATGTGGTATTAATAAATATATCTTACTTAATTTAAGTTAAGTATCTTAACTACTGATTATTGGTTATTTATACTATATGTTATTTGTATTACGCGAATGTCAATTAACGCGGTTTTTATGAATAAATTTCATTTAAATTAAATTGTGACGCAAAATTTGTGTAATTGTATAATTTAAATTGAAAAGAAACCAGAAGTATTTTACTCGCATGTCTATTGAAATTTTCTTTGACTAAAAACGTCATCGATGGTTCGTGTCGTGACGTCTAAAGACAAAAAGCGGATCTCGGCGTCACTGCCGAATCAGTAGTCTTGTAGTAGACTCGACTTTCTTTAACACGAAAAGTATAGGAACTTGACCATCAGTTCCTGGCATTGCCGAGTAGATTGTTCAGAAAACGAGTTATTGTATTGGAACCGGAGCAAATATGCGTTTGAAATGTTGTTCGAAAACAGGGGCATTCGTAAACCGAAGTTTTACTGTATACACTAATATTAATTTGTTAAATTTCATGATAGTCTATATATAGTGCATACACACTGACTTGATAAAAGTGTAGAAATTCTATTAGTCTTCAATTCAAAAGAATAAATATTATTTATTTGCAGAGATAACAAAAATAAAATAATCCGTAAAATGTAATCAACTAATTAATTATCATCAAAGAATTTATCTATGAAACAAAAAGGAAGTCTTAAACAGTCTTCACGAAAAGATGCCGATCATTTATAATTGTCCAATGAATAATCTGACGTTTTCATATGGAGTGAACAAAAATTTTTTGGACAGATTATGCGGTAAACACCACGGGTAGAAATAAATTCAATCTTGAAATCTACGACAAAGTACACGCACGAAAGTTGTAATGTGTTCGTTTTAAATTCGACCGAAAAAAATATGATCAGTTAATTAATAGCAGTTGACTAAACAAATAGAAACATGCAGCACCATGTACTGTTTAGAATTCTACAGTAGTTCTGGCAAAATTCGATTCACTCATAACTTATTAAATGTTGCAAAATGCAAACATTTCCATAATTTGGCTCTATACTGATTTTACTTATTGCCAATAACGACATTTAACTGATCTCTTAATTACATATCAATCAGGATATGAAATCGTATTAATCTACTAATTTCTTAGCAACCCACGACCCACAGCCCTGTGTTTAGGGATAGAAACCGCTTGGCCACTTTTGTAATTGTAACTCATAATATCCATTATAGAAACGAATTGTAAAATACAGTTACTACCGAGTATGCATATATTTTTTCAGGATCCTATGTTATTTACCGGGCCACTTCGAAGAAACATGGATCCTTTTAATGAATATTCTGAAGAAATGCTGTGGAAAGCCATAGAGCAGGTTACAATTAAATTAATATTTTTCAATTTTCTTTCAGCTTTTTCTCTTTAAACGTTTTTCTGATTAAATTCAATTTACACATATTTATTATTATAAATATTTGGATTAAAGGTACAATTAAAAGAAGTTATTAGTAAATTACCTGGAGGATTGGATTCGCATTTAACAGAAGGAGGGCGAAATTTCAGCGTGGGGGAAAGACAGTTAATTTGTCTTGCCAGAACTATTCTTCGCCAGAATAAAATTCTTGTTATGGACGAAGCAACGTCCAATATTGATAAAAGGTTAGAATATTAAAAATATTACATAATTTCAAATATAAATCATTTTATTTCGTAATTCATGTTACATAGATAATAGCTATGGGTATAAGTTTGGTTTAAGTAAGATTGTTTAATAATCACGATGATTACATTGCCATTAATCCGCTAATAAGATGATTGATTTGCATAATGATTAAACTTACAATCAATCGCTCTGGAGATCTGGAACCAAATTCTAATGAATTAAATCAAATATAGTGTGATATGTTCAAAGTATATTTTCTCATCTTTCCTTTTTTCCTATTTTGTGTTTGTCGTAATTAGGGTGAGTAAGGGAGAAAAAGTGTTTTGTCTCTACAAGTTAAACTGTATGTATTCAATATATGTATTCATATTATGCCATGCATACGAATACATACATTCATAATACTGTATTCATTTTGTGCTGTGTATATATAAAAATGGTAATAGGAAAAGTCTTGCATTGTCAACATGGCAGACTAAAATATGTAAACATTTTATCTTTCTCCACTTAATAAATTTATTTTATATCTGTGAGAATCGAGGGGTATAGCGCCGATTTTCTTTCCACTTATAAGCTTCTTTGTCAGGGATATTCGATGTGTTAACGAATGGGATGGTGAGCGAGATCGTAACAAGGTGTCGGTCGTACTCAAGGATGACACATAATTATGTATATAAGAATAACATATCTAATTATGTAAAGCTATACAAACGAGCACAAGTCAAAAGGCTACAAAAAAAGAATAATTCGAAAATACTTTTAAGTCGTCTAATTATCTAACTCTATAAGACATAATATTGTCTAAGTTCAAGCTATGATCGAGAGAGAGAGAGGATCAAATTTTCTCTATGTGATTACCTCTCTGGTTCTCGATCTTGTCAAATGGGCGATGGTAAGAAATGTCCATGGATCGGCGAACTTTACTCGTAGTCTCTCTTTTCCTCGGAACTGGTTTATTGCCGATTATGGCGGGAAGGCAAGTGTTGCAACAGACGCAATGGCGGTATGGGTCTGGTGTCTCCCTGATGTTTACTGGTGATGTCCGCTGTGGGCCTGGCTGTGTCCGCTCAGCTGTGTCTGCACAGAGGTGCAAGTGCGACCCATCTTTGTACACATCCCGGTGGGAGAATTATCGGGGAAAAATCTGATGCAATCGCATGTAAGTTCGACTTGCATCAAGAGTTGTTTACTTTACTTGTCAGGAATCGAACTGTTCTTTTGATTTATTATAGTTTCTACCCGTTATTGTGACACTTTTTCATCATAAACTTCACAACAGCTGTCAAACATACAGAATTACTTGCCACAAATGGCTAAGGTCAGAACATCTGTGAGGCCACCTGGGTGATGTTTGTGTAACTGTGAGTCATTTGATACATTTTTTATCGTTTTAATCGGCTAGCATAAGGCGAGGGGGTGGTTTATTCAGTACAGTCAACTCTTGTAGTTGACCTTTCTGTTTCCCTCTAGCATGTAACAGGTGGAGGTTCTTGTTAATTGGCTACTTATTTGTACATTGTAACGAAGATGGAAATGGAGAATCCCCTGTGGTAAGGGGAAAACTTCCTTAGTCGACCTAAACGTTTTTGAAAGTCTAGAAGGTCACATTTCGAAGCGATGCGATACACTAGTCAAAAGGTCTGAATTCAACTTCCAGGAAAAAAGAAAATGAAGGTTAAAGGGAAATAATGATAAAAAACAATTTATAATGTTTTAAACTTTTTAACTCTCAAAATAGTCTAACTTCTAACATATCTAATTTTACTTAAAATTTGATATATTGCATTGCAAATATTTTCAAATTTTTTACAAAAACTGGGTCGAGTAGTTAAGTATGGAAAATATTATAAAGATGTAAGAAGAAATTTAGTTGCAAAAATAAGCATGTCTCAGTATGAATAAATTAACTTTCATGTAATTTTTGTGTCAAAACTTTCAGATTACAGTGATGGGTAAAATCGTCTTGTTTTCACAAACACCTGCATAATCAAAACCACTTTGGCAATGTCATGAAAGTTTCCACTGATCTGTGATAGCACAAAAAACATTAAATGCCATTTTCATTTATCAACTCTGTTATGAAAAGTAGCTGTTGGGCTGTCAGTTTGCATTTCGAAAGATCTATGAGACTACTTTATTCGATCAAGTGTTCGAAAAGTGTTTATTATTGCTTGTATGTTACTTTTCAGAGTTTTCAATGATCAATATATTGTGCAATAGCGAAAAATGTATACCTTGTATACTTCGTTAATGAATGTTCGAAACGACTTGGGCTGCATTTGATAGTGCAAGTTGGAAAAACGAAATTAGAAGAAATCAAAGCTTTAATGATTGATTACTGTCTTCGTGTATGTTCGTAGTGTTCGTCAGTAGTGAAAACCCTGGCATAGGTCTATCTTCGTAGATATGGGTTCGACATGCAGCACATCATAGAAATCTTGCAAATGGGAGCAAATACCTACTACATATAACAATAGAGTTAAAGAGTACAATACTCAAATCGCGTGTTGGTCAAAAGTGTATTTAGTTTGATTTTAATAACAATATGTAAGGGACATGTCCAATTTCACGTTTACAGAATATTCTCAAAAAATTATCATACGTTTATCTACTTGAAATTTGAATGATTTCTATTTTGACATTGCTTGCTGCCTGTCTATATTTTAACAAGTCTGACTGTCGAACTGTTAGGTAAATTTCCCAGTAATCTATTACTTGGCCATCCATTGCTGAAAAGTAAAGATAAAATAACTACGGCGGTAAAATCATTAGTTAAAAACACTGTTACATATCGTATAATTATAGAAACTGTATGAATGATCTTCTCAGAAACATCACTTGAAATAGTTATTTATGCAAACATTAATTAGTGGAAGAAAATGCTTCTTTAATAATGTAATCACTGTTGTAACAGTTATCACTGTAATAATTTCCCACTGTTGAAGAACTGCTACTTAATAATCAGGCTCACGTATATAATGCAGACGATATTTGTATGCAACGTGTGCAGAAATATCTAATTATTTTTTTTTAAAATGAAGATCAAGTGTTATAAATGACTGAAGAAAAAAACGATTGCATTGTTTTTAAATCACTCACGGTTATTTTATTATGAATGGAGAGCAGAATTGTCTTGCTAAAGAATTTATTTTTTCCTGTGAATGATTGCAACTCTTTGAAGCAGATCTTTATCTGCTGCTGAGTCGCGATTGTACAATGACACTTGATTTACAAATAAAAATATCTCTTTTATAGAAGCCGTTCAGTGAGTGTTCGCCGTAACATCCTATAAGACAGTGGTCCTCAACCCTTGGGCCGCGGACTAGTACCGGTCCGTGGATCATATGTTACCGGGCTGCCCAAGGAAAATTAATTTATTTTCATTTTATTTACTATTGTGTATTTGTCTCGGGTTTGTGCGACTTTTACTAAACAACAGAACAACGGAATAAACTGGACATAAGAAACACACTTCGGGTGTCATTGTCTCCTATTACCCCCAGAGGAAACTGTCTCGTTGCAAAGAAACAAGCTCAGGGTTCTCATTGATTTAGTGTTCTAGTGAGTTAAAATGTTAAATCACATTATATTCATTTTTTGGTGTAACTGTATTTTATTTTGAAGGCACGTTTAAATACAGTTAAATTAAAATTATTAAATTAAATCAATCTAAAACATGAACAATCAACGTCCCCCCCTCAGTGGGCCGCGGTAAAGTTATCAAACGTTGACCGGTCCGTGGCGATAAAAAGGTTGACCATTGATATAAGATGCTACGGATTAATGTGAGCTGTATTTAAAAAATTGTTTTGTCCTGTCCGTATATTGATTAGTTTTAGGTTGTTGAAGTTTCCAAATAGAGATTAAAATACTTGGAGAATAAAATATTTTTTTATTTTATTACCTGATAATTTTTTATCTCTTTCTGAAATGCAATCAGAAGTGTATGACTCAGGATTGTTTGTTTGCTGTCCCAAGTTACATATGAAACTGAATACTCAACCTATCTCGAATGAAATTGTCTGCAGTAAGTTCGCTAAGTATAGTTTGTTTATATTAGGCTAATGTAGCTTTAAACTTTTGTCTGGTATGAAAACGACTAATCAGTAATATATCTCATTTATTACTACATTATGGTTAAAAACACTAATCTTTACTCTTACAAGTGTGTAACGCACCGTTTACGAAAACCAAAATAGGTTACATAATAGTGGGGTTCAAGTACCAGACCTGGACTTTCAAATAAGAAAAAAACAATAATTTTCACAACCACAGACAATAATTAACAATAAATATAAAGTTTAATTTTATTGACAACAAAAAACAATAATGGGTTAATTGACCCGAACAAGAAGTTAACTAATTGTAAAGGAGTAACAAAATCAATAATCAAAGAACTTGTATGTATCAACAAAGACTTATCTCCACCTCAAAAATTATGATTTTACAGCGCAAGATACTATTTCCTCTAGTTTATCACCGCCGTCGCTCCCACAGTGGTCACCTGAAGCTCCCTACCTTTGTCGTGGATGTGCCACCTTTTATTCTACTTCGAGTGCAGTTCCTCACTGTCTTAATTTACATAAGATGTCGTTCCAGGATCAGGCACCGATGCAAACTATGTTTGCTTTTTCTTTCATGGTCACTGGTGTTTAGGAGTTTGTCCTTAACAAGAAAAAAAAAACCCCGAAAAGAAAATAATTACAGTAGATCCCCCTATAAGACGGTAGATACGTTCCGTTCTTTATGAATCAATTTTGTAGGAATCATAGTTTACGGACTACGGCTGTTTGAAAGGTTTTCTTTCATAAAATTAATCGATTCTAGACTAATTCGACTCAACATTTCCAAAATACGTATATTTTTTTTAAAATAATCCGTATAAACTACGTTATAAACAAAAAATTGTAGGATTACTTACCGAGTGTGTACCCTTTGACTACGCTCGTTGCTAAAGCTTGGTTTCGTCGCGGAACAGCGCATCAAATTGCGGCCGCGATTTCTGATATTATTTTTCTGCGAAAACTTCGTTGACCTTTGGAGACATCATTAATATAAATAATTTTTATGGCCGTTGAATAAGAAATGTTTCTTTCACAAGAAATGTATAAAATTACAGTACTGGACAGACGATAGGTCGCCTAACTCGCCGTAGCGTGACGCTAGACGGCGAAAAATATATATTTAATTATAATAAAGTTACAATAAATTAAGTTAATATATAATTATATATACAGTACCTAATTTATATATAATTAATATATAATTATATGTACAGTACCTAATTTATATATAATTATATGAACAGACGATACTAAACTCAATTTATCCGCCTAAACGTCCGTAGCGTGGCGCTACGGACGGCGGGAAAGTAGTTCGGCTGCCCGATGACGTTTTACGTATTATAGGAGTTATTTTTACCGTTGTTTACGGATACTGCCACAATTTTTATAGGAATCATAACTATAGGAAACGGTTTTATAGGGGGATCTGCTGTAAATAAAAATAACGCCCCAAAACATAAAATAACGATCTTATATTGACTCCTTTACAAGTGTAATTATTATAATTGTCGCTTTACTGCAATGAGTAGCTTACTTCAAATGAAAATAAACTTGACTTTATACTTTTGTCAAGAAATCTGTTCTGATATTGGATTTCTTGACATTCACTACGATAGACGTGATTGAACACTATCCGTCGGATATAGATGCAGGATGATTTTCTTAACTACATATGATCAATTTGGTGTGTATTTTCATGGGTTCAGCTTTCTCTTCTTTGTCTTGAGATGGAAAACATTTGATACAGGATAGCACTAAATCAACCTTATCAATTAATTGACAAATGAACTGCTGACTAGATTGGCTTTTTTACAAATACATGTATTTTTTTATCATGGCTTAAAGTTGCACCTTCCCACTTGATGCTATTTTCTCGATAGTTTTCCAGCTCAGAAAAAAATCACAATCTCTGACAAAATATGACGTTTCTTCCAAAGGTTTTACAATGTCGGCAGTGTGTTTTAATTTTCCTATCCTTGAATTTCCTCACATGTGGATGTGGTTCAGTAATATATTTTTTCACTTACTCCTTTCTGGTTTTCGCTATTATAATTTGAATTGTTTGTAATACATTTCAATATCGGGAAACCGTTTTATTTATTTTATTTATTTCCTCACATGTTGATGTGGTTTAGTAATGTATTTTTTCACTTACTCCTTGCTGGTTTTCGCTATTATAATTTGAATTGTTTGTGATACATTTCAATATCGGGAAACCGTTTTATTTATTTTATTTATTATTTATTTTTATTTATTTTATATAAAGAACCGATTCCTGTCTACAGAAAATAATTCGAGAAAAATTCAAATCTTGTACGGTGTTGACAATAGCCCACAGATTACATACAATTATCGATTCGGATAGAGTTCTGGTAAGAATCTTTTTTTTTAGTAATATAAAAATAAATACCCGTTAGTAATTAGACATTTTAAATTTCTAGGTATTAGATACAGGGAGAGTACAAGACTTTGACTCGCCGTATGCATTACTGAAGAACGTAAATGGTATATTTTATAATTTGGTAAAGAAGACGGGAGTAACTTCAATGAATGAGTTATACGAAATTGCAAAAGTTAAATATTACGATAAAGAGAGGGTCGAACAAACAAAACTATAAAACAGATAATTTTATTCTATGTATAGACGATGTGGATCTGGTGTTATGAATTTTTTGTTTAAATTAGTACTTAGAGTGGTATTTTCACACATCACATAACATATAAAATTGTAAAAATCTAAACATTTGTTAGTATATGCAAATTCCACGGTTCAATTTATACATGCTGATCTTTTATTGAGATGCCATCAGCAGTTTTTTAAAATAATATAGTGAGAAATGTTTACAATGGTTTGATTTCAGAAAAGAAGTAAATTTGCTATATAAAACAACAGAAAAAGATTTAATTGGAATAATTAAAACAAAAATTTTGTGTACTTCTTTAATCAGAACAATCTTAGTCAAGAATATAATTCCAGTTGTATGTATTCTTGAAAAACTTGGTTTACCNTTGATTTCAGAAAAGAAGTAAATTTGCTATATAAAACAACAGAAAAAGATTTAATTGGAATAATTAAAACAAAAATTTTGTGTACTTCTTTAATCAGAACAATCTTAGTCAAGAATATAATTCCAGTTGTATGTATTCTTGAAAAACTTGGTTTACCGTAATAATTAATTAAAGAAAAATTATATTATTCAAAATGTTTTTGCATTTGTATTATCTCTTTTCGTGTGTCTAATATTTAATCGGCGTGTAATTGAAAACTGGTATAGAATTTATTGTATTCTTTTGTGTTTAATAGGAGAAACAGAATATTTTCAAAATTGAGATAACGTTAGTCATAGTGATTCGATACACTTTGAGGATATTTTACTTTATAAGTTTACATAAGTAATTTTACATTATATAAAAACGCATTATTAATTTTATTTTTTAAATTTATTAATTTTTCTATCATATCACCAAGAATGTTACAAATGTCATAAAGTATGTTGACTAATAAACTACGTAAATTATCAGCAACATATTACTAATCTAGTTTTTGGTATTTTAAAATTTAACACCAAGAAAAGTGGTTTATGAAATTATGAATAAAATCTTCGTTCAGTATATAATAACAGAAAACTAAATCGTAATGTAGATAATAATTTAGCTTATGTAAAGTGTCATTTTTTATCGTTCTTATTTCAAAACTATACTCATGTCTAATTTTTCGTTTATACTTTTTAACAAATTTATCTAAAAATATTTATAATTATACTTGGTTCGTTATAATTATACTATCGTTCCAAATTGGAACCATTGGAATAATTATTGTTAAACCATTGGAATAATAATTGTTATAATTATACTATCGTTCCAAATTGGAGCCATTCTAATTTGGAACGATAAAAAAAAAAGCCTGAGGATGACCTATCCAAATAGGCCTAAAACGTTTGAATAAAAAGAAAAAGAACTCGGCAAGTAGAATTCTGGTGTGTTCATATTTAGATAGTAATCTCTCCGTAGCGTAGCGCTGGACGGCGGAAAGTAGTTTGGCTGCCCGATGGCGTTTTACGTAATTATAAAAGTTTTAAAGTTTTTTACGGATACCGTCGCAATTTTTTTGTCGTCTTATAGGAATCGTAATTATAGGAACCCGTCTTATAGGGGGGTCTACTGTATTATGAAATTAAAACCAATTTTCCCTGCTCAATATGTTTTTTGATGAATGGACTAGAAGTATATAATTTTTTTCATATTAATTCTCAGTTTAAATTATCTGAAAATTCAGAAATTAACTCAAAAGTTAAGTCAGTTCTTTGACTCAACATCCCACTTAGCATAGTTTTTGAAACACGAAATACTATTTTTGTCTATTGGTAAACTTGATATTTTTACCCAATAAACCAATAAAATTTGTTTGTATTCTGTAAGAAATATTTCCATATTAAGATATATGTTTTTTTTTTATTTTTTATACTCATAGCATATAGCACACATTTTAATAGACGTTACAACATTTCTTTCCAAAATACGAGGTACAGTACAATAATGTTGATTTATTTTTTAGTACGATTTCTAAGAAAATAGTAATTTATTACAATTAATACAATTACATTTGTAGAAAATTTTATAAAATATAAAATACATTAAAATTACCACAAAATAAAAGATACGAATGTATTTTTTTTTGTAGTAAGTAATAAGATAACAATTTCATTGTGCACGAAAAATTTCTGAAATTCCTGCAGACAATTTAATTGGATATTCACTTATGTATTCACTCTTCGAAAATTTTATTTTTTTTAAATTTTAATAAATCTTTTAATTTGGTTTCGAATGAGTTTTTTTCGTTTCCGAAAAATGTTTAATTTTTTTTTATAAATTGTCTTAAAATTCGTACTGTCGATAAAACCAACAGTAGTTACTGCAATTTCTCTATCTTACATTAGATACAAAATTATGTCTATGTGACTTTCAAAAACATGTTTACCATTGATTGTTAATTTGCCTTTACAATTTTATCTGAAATGACTTCGATGCATGTTATCAATTAAATGTTGATTATAATTAAGATACGAATAAAATTATATGTATAATGAATCTATCATCGACAGTTTTCTTTTCAGGTTGAGATTCTGTTTCTTCAATTTTGTCAATACAACAGATACAACAGATACTCTAACAGGATTTAGGAGCGTGAATGGTGCTCTCATATCTTCGAATTAATAAAGTTAATAAGTTTACTTTACCATCAATGGGTAAATTAGTACTCTCGAGTAATTCTTCGATATTACAACTAATTCGTATTTCTGGCTTTTAATAAATCAATATTTCGGAAGGAACTAAAGCCATCTGCTTTGCCATTAGATTCTTTTTCTTATTGCTTTATAAAACTACCTGCCATAGGCAATTTCACATTCAACAGAAAGGGGTCAAACACTATACTGGATTGATTTACCGGAAACCTTTGTTTAGTATTTAAAGGAATATGTTTCCCACTCAATTTCCTAATTACATTTTAAAATTTACTTAATTTACATACGTTAGCCGATGTTTCCTCTTAACAAATTATCAAATATTTCACGTAAAACTGTCATTCAATTAGGAGCTTCTTTCAGTATTGCTCTGCTCTGTAACAGTGTACGTTGTCAGTCCCAACGCAGTATCGCCAACGCAGTGCTGACTCTTCGGTCACACAAGTTATTATAAGAATGCTTTTTATTTCAGTGTATCAATTAGTTTTATAACTAAAAAATTTATTTTTAATAATAATTCTACTAATTCTATAATCCAACCCAAACATTCTTTACTTTTTAATGCAATAATTATCATATCGGTTTTTGTACTTCCAAAGTATATTGTAATGTTAGCGCAGTCAGAGTATACTTTTTTTTATCTACTGGAAAAGGGATAGTAAGGCCAAAATGCATTTCGTTTAGATTAATTAAAAACACTGGAAGTATATACAATAAGCTTGTTCATCAGTCCTAAGAAACTATATTTCTATAATGAATTAATACAAACAAGGGGAATTTTATTATAGTATATATTGTTGTTATTAAGAATTATAAACGAGTCGTCAAGTTTTTTCCAGAGATTCTCGTATTAGTTAGCAATGAGTTCGAAAGAATGCTCACAAACTTTATTGCTTTGTCATTGCTCTCCGTAACGAAAGTGCATTCAAACGAATGCATTGAAAATAAGCTAGTATATTTTCTAAAGAAATACTACCCTGATAAATGATAGGTGTTATGGCTAAATATGACTAGTGACCATCGTAATTATAGCACGGGTGGCATGCTGCCAAATTCAATATAATATATTCAATATAACAGAAACAGGTAGAATAAAATAAAAGATATCGAAAAAGAGAAAAATTGGCGAAAAGCACGAGAACCCAACTGGAGTAACAAGATTCAGAAGAAAAGGACAATCATTTAGAAAATTAAGAAAAACGTTTAAAATTTCACAAATACAAGCATAGTTTGTTGTAAAAGAATGTGAAATGACCCTCCAGAAGAGTTAGTCAGGACCAAAATACACGAAGAAGCAACTTGCTACTCAAAATAAATTCTTCTGCTGAAAATATGTGATATAATTTGAGAGTAAAACCATTTTGTGATTATAAACAAAGAGTCTTTTCTTTGACAAAAGTGAAAGTGCCAATGAAAATTATTTTATCAAAGAAAATGGTAGATGTGTAACTTGAAATGTAATTGAAACGACTGATCACATTTTTGCAGAAGCGTTTTATCTAGACTGAAATTTAGAAACATTCATTTCCTTATCGTCGATTTCTATCAAGAACAAGTGTGTGAAAAACGATGCATTTAGAAGAGAATAATGCACTTTGTAAAAACTACTACTGAGATCTAGTATGTCCTCTGCCGGAACATGTCTATGAAACATCAAACACATTACTGAATACACAAATGCAAAGTTGGAAAATACAGAATTGATGCAAAAACTATGAAAATATTTATGTATTAACTCAGGATACATTTCTTCATAATTGAAGTTTCGACTATTTACAAAAATATCAAATTTTCGAGTCTATCATAATCCTTTTTTATACATCGCCAGAAGTAACAGTTAACATGGTATTTGTTTTGAAGAAAAACTTCTTAAAAAAACACAGGTAAACAAGTAAAAAGAGGTTACAATGTTAAAAACGATCAAGTGTCAGCCTTCTATTGTAGGTTCTGACACTTTACATTAAAAACATGAAGAATTCTTCTCACCATGCTGTCCTTATCCATTCTTTAACTGCTTCAGGCCCTCTGGAGTTAATACATAAATTGTGTTCATATGCAAATAAAGTAGGATAACTCGAAATCACCACCAGAGAGCCTGAAGCAGTTAAAGAATGGATAAGGACAGCATGGTGAGAAGAATTCTTCATGTTTTTAATGTAAAGTGTCAGAACCTACAATAGAAGGCTGACACTTGATCGTTTTTAACATTGTAACCTCTTTTTACTTGTTTACCTGTGTTTTTTTAAGAAGTTTTTCTTCAAAACAAATACCATGTTAACTGTTACTTCTGGTGATGTATAAAAAAGGATTATGATAGACTCGAAAATTTGATATTTTTGTAAATAGTCGAAACTTCAATTATATGAAAATATTTAGAAGTTGGATTCATCAATATGCCAAAAGTTCAAGATTCAGAACAAGTTAGCAAGTATAAATCTGACCAATTATCAAGGTAAATGTTCACAAATAAAGTTTAAAGTACAGCCGATTATAACATTGATCGTTTCATTTTTATGTTATACAAACACATACATACATAATGTACAGTACATGATACATACATAAT